GACACGGTCTCTGCTTTGACAAGACATGCCAAAGAAACCGCCTCGCAATATGTGCGGAAGCAGGTTGTGAGAAACGGGTCGAATAAAAACCGGACCATGGTGTGATGTCACGTTCTAAAGATTTATCAGCAGATTAGATTCGTGGATTATTATTCTCTCTACGGTGGAATACAGAAATTACCTTGCAGAGCCGGACACGGTCCTTGTGTTCGGAATTTATCTTGGAGTATTCGGAGATGGAACCCGCCTCGCAATGCCGAAGACAATCTATGCGCCGGACTCATCATCATTGAAGCCTGGTTCAGGGGCTATTGAGGGAGTCCTGGATGAGGGGGTATCCGGACAGCCGGACTATATGCTTTGGCCGGACTGTTGGACTATGAAGATACAAGATAGAAGACTTTGTCCCGTGTCCGGATGGGACTCTCCTTGGCGTGGAAGGCAAGCTTGGTGATTCGGATGTAGATCTCCTTCTCTGTAAACCGACCTTGTGTAACCCTAGCCCCCTCCGGTGTCTATATAAACCAGAGGGTTTAGTCCGTAGGACAACGACAACAACAATCATACCATAGGCTAGCTTCTAGGGTTTAGCCTCTCTGATCTCGTGGTAGATCAACTCTTGTAATACTCATATCATCAAGATCAATCAAGCAGGAAGTAGGGTATTACCTCCATCGAGAGGGCCCAAACCTGGGTAAACATCGTGTCCCCCGCCTCCTGTTACCATTAGTCTTAGACGCACAGTTCGGGACCCCCTACCTGAGATCCGCCGGTTTTGACACCAACACCGATGGCCCGCGCGAAGGGGCTTTGCACAGGGCAGGCGCAACACGCGGCGGGGATCGAGCGCACAAATCAAGGAGTCATGCCCCCTCTTTCCCACAAACGCACGACGCTACCGCTTCTGCGCGTGAACACGCGAATTCAAATCCCGAGATTTCTGAGACAAATCAATTCGATTGATCACATGCAGTTCCTTTCCTTTGGGACACACATCAGACTGAATGATCACCCTCCGCGGGGACCCGTGCACTCAGCCACGTTAAACACCTGACTGAAGTCTTCTTTAGGATCGTTACGTGACGAGCTTGACGCCCTCTGCGTGTTCACTTGGCCCTCTCAGTAGGCTCCAAGGCGCATGACTCGTAAACCTGGACTCATAGCATGCATGCGCTAGCATTCCCCTAGGATATGGAATGCCATCTCTCCGGAGAGTCAGACCACGCGCCGACATCACCACTCGGGTTATAATGGCATGCCCGCACTCGGGCCACTAGTCTATCTCCTCCAAGAGACAAAACAAATGCAACCGGGTTTTTCTCGACGATCAACAATACCCGGTCATCTGGGTAAACCTGAAGCCCAAAATCTGTTGTGTTTTCTCCCAAGGAACAACAAACCATGATTCAGAAACATATTCCAAGTGCCCCAGCAACACTCAGACTCAACCGAGGGATCGATTTATTTGTCCTACGCAACCAATTCGGGGGCTAATGATGTGGTCACCTATTACGTGTAGGGTCAAGGACCCATCATTCGGGACCCACATGGGGCCCATCACCATCATAGGTAGGTCCCTGGACCACGCCAACATTCGGATGCATACATCAACAACCCCACTCAGACAGCTCAACGACACTCGGACGACCACACGTCACTCGACTGATGGATCATCACTCAGCATAGAAGGCAGGAGGACATCGTGGGAGCTACAATGGTCGAGGATCCCAAGTCATCCATAGTGAGTCATAGCTACCATTACCTATAACTGTTGTAGTATAGGCTCATTATACTAGTAACTGACTCATTCAATGTCATTAATTGCCTCGGCGGCGTGGGGGACATGGGTTGCAGCGCACTCTATATAAGCCGCACCCTTCTCCGTAACTAAGTAGCGAGCAACCTTTCTAATGATACCTATCATATCAAAGCAAGCCTTAGGGCACGAGACGTAGGGCTTTGACCTCCACCGAGTGAGGGGCCTGAACTAATTAAACACCGAGTGTTACACCTACGCCGTAGCTAGGCTATGCCTCTTATTCGTACCCCTAGTCTCATTGTCAGGATCATAACCCTGGCAGTAATAGTAGTATATTTAGTAAGATTAACAGTCTACTTGTCTCGGATGTAATGCATATGTATTGATCATGCCATGAATATTGTCATAACTATGCATTTTTTCTATCAATTGCCCAACACCAATTTGTTTACCCACCGTTATTATGCTCATGAGAGAGATGCCTCTAGTGAACGTTATGCCCCCGGGTCTTTTCACTTTATATTTACTAAAACCCTAATTACTTGCTGCAATTTATTTAATTTTGTAATTTATCTATCTATCACTACTAGAATTAATCCTTACAATTAACGAGTACAAGGGGATTGACAACTCTCTTGTCCGTGTTGGGTGCAAGTATTTGTTGTGTGTGTGTGTGCATATATTGTTGACGTTTGTTTGCGTGAGTCTCCTACTGGTTTGATAAATCTTGGTTCTTAAATGAGGGAAATACTATGTACTACTATACTACATCACCTTTCCTCTTCGGGGAAATCCCAACGCCTATCACAAGTAGCAGCGACGAGAATGCCACGGGAGGTATGGGTGACGACATGGCAACTCCATATAGACGGCTCTTTATTGTACTATTAACCATGCTCTTAGGTTGTGCATCACGACCAAGACACAGGAAAAAAATGAGAGACCTTAATGTTTATTTATTAATCAGTATCATTGCATGCAATGAACTGACCATTGTATGCCGTGCCCGGTAGTCTCAAGTCATTAAAAGCATGCACGCCCCACGTCTCTTATTGGTTGATTCTTTATTCATGTAAAAAACAAGAAACGGGGTAAGAGTTAATGTACCATGTCTAAACATTCTGGGATTATTTGATTTTTGTAATGCACGTAATACACCGGCACGAAGGCAGTAGTAACATAGACTAGACTACTGCCGTATGCATGACAATAGTCTAAGTTACGCCCCACTATGACAAGCCTTAAGCAAAAACAAAAGACAAGCCTTAAGGGCATCACCAAGGCGGACCAACAAACCTCCCGTAACCGTCCAGACCGCGTTGTCCGGACCGCGGAAGCCACCATCCAATGCCGGCCTGTATCGGTCCGCGGTGCGGTTCGGACGCCTTTTCTCCCGCGTATTGGAGACAAAAGTGTGGGAGGTTTGCGGGAGTCCGGACACCCGAAACGTAGGACTCCGACACCCCCGGCCCACCTAATCCCCCTTTCGGTCCCATTTCCTTCCACTCTGTCCCTCCCCTCTTGCTTTGCATCGGTACCCTCCACCTCCGCCGCTGCCGCTGTTCATCTCCAGCCGCCACAGAGGCATTGCCCGAACGTCCGCAAGCAACACCGATGCGCCCCACTCGCCGTTCCGACGGAGCTTCCCACCCTAGAGCCATTTGTACCCAGGTATGCTCCGTCCCTGTCAACGACCTCCATGGAGGACACCACGCCCAACAGGTGTCCGGTCAAATGCCATTGAGCTTATTTTTCAGATGCTCTGTCATTTTTTAGAGTACGAAGGTTGATGAGCTACTCGACCATGGAGGATGAGTTGTGCGATGCGTGGCTGGCCATATCCGCGGATTTCATAGGCAGGAGCAGAAGGGAGCCCTTCTGGGAGCAAGTGCATGTAAAGTTTCACGCATGAAAGCACATTGCGCCCTACGACACGTACATCATTCAACGACGCAACGTGAGGTTGTTGTTGTATCGCTGGCGCGCTATCCAGGTCGGCGCCATCACGTTTTGCAATTTGGTGGCCATTGCACGCGGACATGGAGGAGATGGTAAGTTTTACTCTCTCTTGCTCAACTTGTTGATTGATTCATACACTCAATATCGGTCTACACATTATATGTAGCCCGCACACGCCGCCGTGGTGTACCACGTGATAGAGAGACGGCCATTTACGTGCGCATACTGTTGGATGAAGTCGAAGGGGGAGTGTGGAACGACATGATCCGTTGATGAAAAACTTGCCGGACATCCGGGATCTAGTCGAATTAGGGACATTGTTGTACTAGACTTGATGTGCATGATATGTATGAATGATTTGTGCTATTTCTATCCGAACATTGATGAATATCAACCGCTTTTCATCAATTTCATCCGGTTAGTTAAAATGCGGTTCAAAATATATGCCACCACGGTTGTATGGTGTCGTTCCGCATCCGTGTTCGTGAAGCGGTCCCTCTGTCCGCGGACGGATGGGAGAGCATTTTTGTGGTTCCCGTTGAAGATGCTCTGAGCCAAACAGGAATCGTTCCCTGATTGCGAACATGTCTGGTCATCCGGGCACAATGCTTTGGACGCTGCTGTAACCTGGTACTTCCGTCAAAAGCAGAAAACGTGTCAAGGTCTTAGCTGTAACAATACGGGGCCTGGCCGGCCTATACTCTGTACAAAAAAGATCCGTTGGACCTTTCTACCGCTCGAAAGTTGTGCGGCACGCCTCACAAGTCACGACTTGGCACGACCTGTCACGCCCGTCAACGTCACTCAGGCCCATTCCGTAGCGAACGAACCTTCGTTTCGCACCTGTAATTACGTTTTTATGCACACAAAAATATACAGCAGGTAATAAACGACAGTACAACATTTACCGTACATTCCCCACACAAGAAAACCTTTCGCAGCTAGTAAATCCAACCAGCCCACCCGTCAGTCACGAGATGCGACCAACCCACCGGAAACCGAATCAAAAACCAGCAGCGGCCGCAGCAGGGAGGAGCGAGCCTCGTATCGGGCCGCCCCGTACGCGCGTTCCACGTGGTCGCTACTCCCTCCGCCCCTCACTCCCCTCCGACGAAAACACCTGCGGGCTGCGGCCCTGCCCGCCCCGGCCAGATTGCGCCCGACGGATAGAGGTAGCTATTAAATCCGGGAGATCGGATTGGAAGCAAAATCGAATCCCCGAATCTGGGTTGCTCGCCCTGATCGGCCGTGGGTTCGCGCGGCGTCGTCGGCGGCGGCGGCCATGGGGGCGATTGGTTGCCGTCGGGCCGGGGGGCCCGTGGGCTGGCAGTACGTCTTCGAGGATGAGGAGGACGAGCGCGAGGACGAGGACGCGCCGCTCGTGGAGGAGGAGGGGGCGGACGAGGACTGGGGGGTCGAGATGGAGAGGAGGGGGACGAAGAGGAAGGGGCCGCGCTCGTCGCGGCCGCGCAAGACGCGGCGCGTCGCCACGCTCTGCGTCTCGCCGGCGTCGTCCGACTCCGGGTCCCCGTCGTCGAGCGCCGTGCCCAAGCGGCGGCGCGTCGCCACGCTCCGCCGCGTCTCGCCGGCGTCGTCCGACTCCGGGTCCCCGTCGTCGAGCGCCGTGCCCAAGCGGCGGCGCGTCGCCACGCTCCGCGCCTCGCCGGCGTCGTCCGACTCCGGGTCCCCGTCGTGGAGCGCCGTGCCCAAGAGGCGGCGCAGCGGAAACGGGGCCAAGAGGGGCCGCCCCGTCGCCGTGCCCGCGGAAACGGCTGCGCCCGCAGCAGAGGAGGCGACGCCGAGCACCAGCGCCGCGGGCCGCACCAAGGGGAGGAGGTCGTGCCACCAATGCAAGGGGGCGATGAAGCAGCAGATGACCAAGTGTAAGCGATGCCGCGAGAAGATCTACTGCGGCCACTGCATCGAGGATATGTACATCTCTCTTCTCACCCCGCTTGTAATGTTCGGTTATTAGCACGAATGAACATCCGAGTTACCAGTGAGGCCTGTGGGTTTGCAGGTACCCGGCGTTGTCGTTGGCCGAGGTTAGAGCCGGGTGCCCGTCCTGCCGTGGAATCTGCAATTGTAAACGGTGCACTGCCAAGGAGCAGGGTGAACCCAAGGTGATGATCTTGTGGCTTGCTGAGTTATTTCCGATAGTGCAAACGCATCAGCAGTTCAGCATGATATCAGCACTAGAGATTTCTAGGTTACATTCATAAGATTTCTTGTTTTAAAATAACTGTTCTCCGTTGCGACAAACTGACAATGCTGTGACTTGTAGTACAAATGGTTGTTATATTGTGACATGGAAATCTAGTTATCGAGTGTTTGCAGTGTTTGACGTACTTACAGTTTTGTGAAACCATAACAGTTGTAACAAAAAAATCGACGCCATATGTGTAGGTCTAAAAATATGCATTTTTTCCACCTGTAGAGTTCAGTTTCGAGGAAACGCAACGGCAGTAGATCAGTAACGAAGAGAAAGAAGGCTAACACCTCAGGTGTAAAGTCAACCAGGGCTCGTAATGAGGTGGCACAGACTGAAGCAAATGACAACTCCTTCCTAAGATCCAATGAGATTAATAGCACATCTGTCATATTAGACAAGGTAGATACGTTGGATGCAAGACCTGATGAGATTGCTCGGGAAACTAAAGTAAAACATGCTAGATATCTGTTGCACTATCTGGTGCCTTGTTTGAGTGACCTGAACAGGGATCAGATGGTTGAGAGAAAAATAGAGGCCGAAATTCAAGGTAAACTAGATTCTGCAGAACATGTAGAAACTAAATAGAGTGGTGCCTTGCAACTAATTGTTACTTACCCTGTTTTCTGCCAAACAGGATTGGAATTGTCTGAACTGAGTGTTGAACAGGCTGACTGCTGGAATGATGAGAGGATGTTCTGGTACTGAGTGCTCCATTCATTCAACTTTGGATTTTTTCCCCACTTCCTGTTGTTATTTTATACTTTGTAGTTATGATTTCATTTCTATTTCATCCAGTGACAATTGCAGAACTTCGATCTTTGATCTGCATAGAAGCTGTCCAAACTGCTCATATGAATTATGCATTGCGTGCTGTAAGGAGCTTCGTGAAAATAATCTAGAGGGCTCTTGTCGGGAAGAGCTGGTGTCTTATCCTAATAGAGGAATTGACTATATGCATGGTGGTGATCCATCGCCTGAGTTGATGAACTGCGTGCAAACAAACTTGTCCAGTTGCCAGCCTAAGACTACCAAGTGGTGTGCTAATACTGATCGGACTATTAATTGCCCCCCACCTGAACTTGGTGGTTGTGGTGATCATGCCCTTAAGTTGAGACAGATGTTTCCAAAAGATTGGTTAAATAAGCTCGAAAGGGATGCTCTACAGTTGAGTAAGCAGCTAGAACCTTCTGATATTGTCAGCGGATATACACATGAATGCCCATGCTGTACTAAACATGAAAATGCAAGGCATGCTGCTACCAGAGATAATTCAACAGATAACTGCCTATACTGTCCAAAATCAGATAATGAGAAAGGAGACGATCTAACTCACTTCCAGAGTCACTGGGTTAAAGGAGAACCTGTTATTGTACAAGGGGTACTACAGAAAATGCCACATTTGAGCTGGGAGCCACCACATATGTGGTCTGAAGTACATGGTGCTAGTACTACCCCTGATATGAAAAATGTGAAGTGTATTGATTGTTTATCTTGTTGTGAGGTTAGTGAAAAATATTCCATATCTAGGAATGTTTTTATTTCTTGAATACCTTTATAGTGTACTCCCTCGGTATCAAAATATAAGACGCTTTTTGACACTTATATTTTGATATGGAGGGAGTATTTGTTTGTCAACTGATTCCAAATACATAAGATATTAAGGTGTAAAAAAACACTTTGTTGTCAAGATCTAATTTTTTTTCCAAAGGTATCTGGTAGCTGATTGTGTTACACATTTACCAAATTTCTATAATTATTATGAGCATTCTATACCTATCCATCAGTTTTAATATAATCATTAGCATCCTGAATGTCGAAAAGGTCCTGGTGTCGATTAATTCGTTCACCGTCACCCAAAAAATTTGTTCAGTCCCATGAGCTCATTAGCTGGAAAGTGTTTACTGTCTTGAAGTACACTTTTCTTTGGTTATTTCAGGAATAACTCATCACAGTTGTCTGAAATATGTAATTTAATTTAAGTGCAAGGTTCCAAGAGAACATATATTCAGACAAATTTCTGTTGGGATGGATGAGTGAGTTGGATTAATCTGTTTCATGCGGACTTGATCAGTGTAGTCATATGTTCTTCATTTCTCATTACCCAGAAAGGAAATTCACCTTTTGTGTTTAAATAATTCAGGTCGAGATACGCACACAGGATTTCTTCAATGGATACTATTATGGTCGGGTGTATCAAAATGAATGGCCCGAAATGCTTAAATTGAAGGACTGGCCTACTTCAAATCATTTTGAAGAGCTTTTACCTTCGCATGGAGTGGAATACATCAATTCTTTACCCTTTCAACCATACACAAATTTGAAATCTGGCTTGCTAAGTGTCTCCGCATTGCTTCCTGATGACATTCTAAAGATTGACATGGGCCCAAAGTCATACATAGCTTATGGCTATGCGCAGGAACTTGGCAGAGGAGATTCTGTTACGAAGCTTCATTGTGATATATCTGATGCAGTAAGTAAATAGCTGTACTCCCTTAGCAATTGACAAGCACAAATACCTTGGAAGCAAATTCCTGTCTCTTGTGTGTATATGAAAGGAAAATTTTCACACTTGCTTACCTCAAAGAACTTAATTTTCTTGTAATGTAGAACATTCAATTTCATGGGACCAATAGTAGAACCATGATTCGTGCTAGTCTTGCTGAGATTTGCTTCTCTTTAATTATTCTATGTTAACTTTGATATTGTTAGGTTAACGTTTTGATGCATACTGCAAAAGTTGCCCCCTCTGAAGGACAAGAAAATGCAATAAAAAACTTGAAAGCAAGACATGAGGTACAAGATGAAAAGGACTGTTGTGGGAATTTTGCAATTGATGGAAGTGATGCATGTCATAAAAACTGTCTGGATTCAAACCATACATCCTCTCCTAACTACAGCAAGGACGATGATGGAGGTGCTTTATGGGATATTTTCAGGAGGGAGGATGTTCCAAAACTGGAAACATACCTTCGTAAACATTCCAAGGAATTTCGCCATATATATTGTTCTCCAGTTGAAAAGGTTGGTAATTGTGTGATATGAACAACCTTCTATTTGCTGCTATCATGTTTAACATCTTTCACCATGTTTAATTGCAGACATTTAACCCTCTACATGATGAAACATTCTATCTAACCGAGGAACATAAAAGGAGACTTAAAGAGGAGCATGGTGAGTTCTGTTTGTCTGCTTTTGTAACACTTTGCCAATTCTTTACTGCAAATGGTTGCAGTGTCTGGTTTGTATTTTCTTGAATTTTTGTTACCCCCATTTAGGAATCGAGCCTTGGACATTTGTACAAAAACTTGGAGAGGCGGTTTTTATACCTGCTGGGTGCCCTCATCAAGTGCGGAATCTCAAGGTAAATGTTCTCAGTTTACCATAGCAGTGCCACAACTCCATACCTGTGCTAGATAGGGGAGAACTGCAAAATAATATTTAAGTTTGCATGTTATGTATCTGATTATTTTTATTGTTATCATTGCAGTCTTGCACGAAAATTGCTATAGATTTTGTATCACCAGAGAATGTCCAGGAGTGTGTCAAGCTAACTCAGCAATTCCGCGTGCTTCCTAAGAACCACAGAGCAAAAGAAGATAAATTAGAGGTAAGTATGACCTTTTTTATGAACATAATTAAGACTTTTTCAATGCACCCATTTTAACCATCTTGCATTACATATGCATTTCAAGCAGCATTAAGCTAAGCTTGGGACTATAATTAATATATTATTACAATGCAAGATGAGCTCCTGTGTGCTCTTTTCTCTTCTTTTGTTGAGACCAGCTGCAACATGCTCGGTACCTAACTTTGGATTGTAACAGAAGTTGTGTTACTTCCTTTTAACTTCCTTTTATGCAAGGGTATAACTAATTAAATCTGCCACATTACATCATAAAGTAACCTCCTTCTGACTGTGTTGCCTCATCTTTTCATCCTTCTCACCGGCGACCATCTCCTTGATATCCATCCTGGCATCAACTTTCCTCCTGTGTTTGTTGGCTTGACGTGTAGTCACTGATGTGACCCTCACACTACCGTGGCTGCCGTGGCCCATGCCTTTGCAGTGTCGCTGCGACACAGTCTCTGTCTCTTTGTGCTTTCGCAGCCGTGCATGCATTGTAGTGAACTTAAGGCACCAGCACCGCTGCTGTTGCAACCCCTGCAGTGAAGTTCCTCTGCTGTCATTACCATGACCTACAGTGCTCCCGTCTTCTGTGCCATTGCTGGCGAAGCGATTGTTGCTCTTGGGACCTCGCACCACCCTGGCCATATTCCTACCGGCCTGACTCTGTACACTAACTACCGCAGCTGCATGCATGTTGGTGTCACAAGATGGGGAGAGCGTGCACAGGTGTTGGTGGAGGATAAAGTGCAGCATCTGTAGGATTATTATATCGGACCGTCTCTAGGTATGCATTTCAGGAACGAGATTGTTGTAGCTTTTCTCTTTCTTATTATACTTGACTCAAGGACATGTTGGTAGGAATCAGATCTACAGATGGATATCATACTTTTTTATGTCCCATTTCGTATTTTTTTCCTTGCAATGGGATCGGATATTTTTTGCCCACTTTAGCATCCGCTTCTCAAAACGTCCCGTGATCCACAAAATTAATGCGGTCTTAGTTCCCAACTCTTGAAATATCCCTTCCCTCCTTATTCTAAAACGGACTCTCAATCATGAATCCTCATTAGCCACATCACCTACTGGACAGTAGCCATTGGATCAAGCGGGAACACAGTAGCCACATCACCTACTGGACAGTAGCCATTGGATCAAGCGGGAACACAGTTCAAATCATAGGATTGCACTCCTTTGCAGGCTCAGGCAATGTCCAATGCAAGTCGCGTAAACATGCGCTAGAAAAAAGAAAAAAAAGTGTTCCCATATTAAAAGTCCTAGCTTCCAAAGCAAACAAGTTTAGAGGCACTTACATTATATTTGAAAAAGGCAAGAACCCATAGAGATTATATTTGAGCAGATGGTTGCAAACGGCCAGGAATTTTATCCCTAGCGCCCACTGTCAGCACTGTGTGGGCAAAAGGCAGTTCCATGAGAATATGACATGGCAGTTAGAGTAGAATATTATAGGGAGACAGATCGGATTCACGTGCAATACAAGAGATGGCAGTATATTAAGTTGACTAACCGGCGCCTTTTGGGTAGAAACAAGCATTTGTATTTCTAATAACTTTTATACACTTCAAATATTATAATTGCTACAGAGAATATGCCACAATTTCTTCTCGCCTACTTCTAGGCTTCCTGTTTTCTGTGCACAATCATCCTGCAACATATACACTTATTGACAACATCACTCCCGCAAGCCATCTCTCTTCTTTTTGTTGACGAGGATTTCCGAACTGATAACATGACACTTCCGTTTGGTGCTTTCTCCAGTCCTCAAAATCCACTCTTTGTAAACCTTGTCTTTTTGAAGATAATTTCTGAAGGTGATGAACATCATGAATCCCTTCTCTTTTGTTTTTGGCTGATTGTTCCTGATTTGATGACCATCAAGTTCTCCTTTAGTTTCTCCAACACAATGTCCAAGAGCCATGACCATCGAACAGATTCTCCTTCAGGATTTCTGTAAATTACTCTTTGCAAACCTTGTTCATTTTGAAGATAATTTCTCAAGGTGATGAACAGCACGAATCCCTTCTCATTTGTTTTTGTCTGATATTTCATGAATTGATGACCACCAAGTTCTCGTTTAGTTTCTCTAACACAATGTCCAAATCCACGACCATCAAACTGAAGAAAAAAAACAAATTCCTGCGAGCAATCACGACCACTCTAATTCTAAAACTGTATACTTGTTTTGCTATTTGATATTATATATGGCCCTTGAATAGAAAATTCCGGCCGTTCTCCCGGTTGAATATGACATCATGCAACTTAATTTTGTCGTGCATGAAGTCATGACCCACCAATTTTTGTGCCAATGATGTGGCTGAGTTTCAAACTGGTGATGTGATCCGAGGGAAGTCCCAATGTGTTTATCTTGTGTTATATATCTGATTCAATATGTAGTTCATATGTATGTGCATCTCTCCTCGGAGTTTTGCTTCTTGGCATGTTTTAGGTGCATCTCACATCATTAAATTGCTCGAGGCGATGTTCTCGGCGCAGTCCCAATCTTGCGTGATGAATCTCACTGGCCCGAGACTCCAATTTGCACATTTCAAGATCTAGTTAGGATAATGACATTAATAATAGGCTACAATAAGGTTTTGTTTGTACTCCCTTTGTTCATCAATATATGACGTTTTAGATTGTTCATACAAGTCTCTAAAACGTCTTGTATTAATGAACAGAGTAGTTGTTTACGACACAAATTTCATAGCTTGCTCTCATCTAACCTTGTTTATTGCAGCAAGTCTAAAGTTATTATGAATCCACTCTAACCACCTTAACTTAATTTTGTGGACTAGTTGGGCCATGCCATTGCGGGCCCTTTACTCGGCACAGTTTCCCAACGTAATTCGTTTATTTTTTAGGATATGCTTATAAGATCCTAGTTCCATGGCCACTACCGCAAAATCTGGATGATAAAAGTCTTAATGGTTGAAGCCCTTGTAGTGCGTGGCTAACGAGTTCTACGTAGTAGTCTAGAATTTGCCCCTTCAGTGGTGCATTGTTGCGGTCCTAGTCACTCCACCACCAAGTGGATGACTAGTGAGATGGAATTAATGATACCAATCGTTGACACACACCCAACCATTGTTGGGCCAATAAGAGGAAGTCATGCCAAACAAATCCGTGATCAGGTGAATGCTGACTTGAGTTTATCTTATAGTTCGATGAATAGCTGTCCTTTCATCTTCGTTGTTGTTAATCAAACTCAGGCGCCATGTCAAGGAAGCCAACCATTTTTTAGTTCTTGAAGAAACAAACCTGCAGAACCAAAGTTATAAGTGAATTGCTTTGAACACTTATGACAAGTTCAAAAAGAAAAGAAAAAACACTTGCCTTTGATCTTTTGTTGTTGAAACAACATCCTCGAACTGCAACGTGACAATGGGGCATACTACTAAACGTAGTCATCGAGTCTACTTTTCAACCCTATAAAACATGTATGATTTGAAGTAGGCGTGTTTGTGAAAAGCTATTGCACAAGAGTTGCCAAGTTTGTGACTTATCCACCCAAAGCATCCATGCAAATATTGTTGTCATTTGGGACTATGGTTGCACCTAGCTAGAGTGGTTTTCCCCGTCTCTCTCGACCTATGATGAAACTCTCCAGTTACTAGCTACAAACTTATGCAGGAACAAAACAAGTGCTCCTTGCAGCCATTGTTCTTGCCAGTCCATTTGGATTCGCAAGAACGATGTTTCACCTAATTCATGCCCTATGTTTATCAACATTTTGTCTGAACAGGTACTAATTCAGCAACTCTCAAAGCTATAGCTTCTCCCCGTTGGCCTTGCTTACACTACAGTAAGGTCACTTGCTTGGAAAGCTAGGCTATTTCAGTGATCCGTAAGTGAGGGACTCTTGATAAGGTCCTCCTTCTCTCAAGGACCAGATAACAACAAAGGATTGCCTTTGAATTGTATTTCCTTTCGCAGCTCTCATTTGCACCTCTCCGGATAGGTGTCTTTTCTCGACACGTTCCTCTCTTCAACGCTGACAAGGTCTCTCTTACAACCTCCTCTGTCTTTGTTTTGTGAAACATCAAATACTGCATCTACACAGCCATAATTGGTGTCTTAACTATTGGGCTCTCTAATCCATTCGCCCCCACTTTCGTGTCAGTGTCAGTCCAACAGAATGTTTTCGCCGTTGGTGTTCTTTTCTATCTCGATGCATTTCACCGCTCTATCGAAAATTCTCTCTGCCCCTACCGTACTCCAGCTTCAGCCCCGGGATTTCGCTGCGGACTTGAAAAGCCACATAAAGTCTTGGTTTACATTTTCGTGATTGTTCAGACAATGGATCAAATTCCGTGTAGCTTCGAATCACCTTCCTAACTAATGGTTCACATTAAACCTTGCACTTGCAACTACTTCCCTCCCCCACATTGATCTTTCGTAGTGAAGATCTGAGCTCGCCAGGGTCGTTATTGATGTCTCTGTTGGGTTTTCTGCATTGGTTTTTCAATTTTTATGTGGCCCCTGCTTTCTTCTAATTTTTCTATGTTTTTTTCCTCTTCCGTTTCTACACGGTTTGTGCGCATGTGCGGCTCAGTGTGTAGTGACTAATCACAGGGAGTACAGGTGCACTGGTGCACTACACGGTGAGTACATTTGCGTTGTGTGTGGGAGAGTTAAACTGCTATGCGGAAAGTACAAGTGCGCTACTCCCTCCTGTTCCTAAATATTAGACTTTTTAGAGATTTACAAAGCAAAATGTGTGAATCTACACTTTAAAATATGTCTATATGCATTTATATATAGTTTGTATTAAAATCTCTAAAGAAACTTATATTTAAAAACGGAGGGAGTGCGAAGTACTATAAGGCCCTGCTTGGAATCCCTGAAAAGTTATACAACTGTAAATTAATTACCCCTGTATATTACTCCCTCCGATTCAAGTCTTACTACAAACTACATACGGATGTACATAGACATATTTTAGAGTGTAGATTCACTCATTTTGCTTTGTATGTACTTCCTCTTTTCCTAAATATTTGTCTTTCTAGAGATTTCAACAAGTGATTACATACGGAGCAAAATGAGTGAATCTACATTCTAAAATATGTCTATATACATCCGTATGTAGTAGTCCATTTGAATCTCTAAAAAGACAAATATTTAGGAATGAAGGGAGTAGTTCATAGTGAAATCTTTAAAAGAAACTTATATTTAGGAATGGAGGGAGTACTGAACATCGGTAAAATACAACCGGATATAAAAGTGGAGCCCAGGGTGCTTGGTTCTTATTTGCACCGGAGTTAAACTTGAGCTATGCGGAAAGTACAAGTGTGCTACTCCCTCCTGCGTCGTTGGCGGCTGGAACTTCCATGTGGAGTTTGAGGAAACACTTGATGTGGAGACTGGTTGAGGAAACACAGGGTAAAACACGACGTTTGCATGTTGTTTGGTTGCCTGCATATGAGGTCTTGTCATCATGAAAACAAATTTCACCTGATGTTTGGTTGCATACATGTATGGTGATTAGGAGTTGATAACTACACTTGAACATAGAGATTACAGTAGAATGCACACGAGTGCTTCGGTGACCACAGGCGGGACGACTACGACAACCAGGGGCATGACTACTGGTCGATGTCGGTGTACCAGCAGAGGCAGGGCACAAGGGCTACCTCCACGTCGCAACTAAAGCCAAACAAGCCGACGCCGGCAGCCACACCTAATTGTAGAACGAGACTGGCGGCGAGATGCCATCGAAGCTTCCCGCATGGAAGCTTCCCGCATGGCACAAGGTCGGCGACGATGCTGACTACGGCGCACACACGCCTTCACAAAGTATCAGGTTGGCCATGGCAGTTCTTCAATCCCTACCATCGAAGGAAAACTCAAACGGTGAACAGTACATGATGAATGTATCGAAATTCATCCAAAATAGCTTCAAACATAAACACGAAATTGAACATCTACATTACGAACCAATTGTCTGAATGGAACCACAACAACGCCGTGCATCTTTTTCATGTACAACTTATATCAAATCGATGCACGGTTGTGTAGATTAGAAGAGACTGGTGAACGAGATTACGAATGAAGGAGAATAGGAGGGTGATTAGGAATCGATTACAGTGATTACAGTACACTGGTCGTATGTAGATCTATTCATCTATGATTTGTGAAATGAAAAACCCACAACACGAAAGTTGTGTCAGACAGCAAGGTGAAGCTACTAGTCAAAGGAAACTTCAAACGGTCAACCGTCTGCCATGAATTTGTCAAAGTTTGTCCAAAAAAGATTCAAATATGAACACGAAATTCAACACATACAGTGAACGAAACTATGATCCGATCGCTTGAATGGAATTAGAACATCGAGGTGCATATTTTTTGTGTATAACTTTTCCTGAATCGAAGCATGATTATGTAGAAGCGATGAAGGAGATTAAAAGGTGATTATAGGAAAATACCTGCAAAGTGTTGTCAGAGTCATCCACGTGGGCTCGAGAGCATAACTCGGGCCTGCTGGATACTATCGTGCCGTGCAGGCCCAACTGTGTTTGCATATAACCAAAAAAGCTGCATCCAGTGGGCCTGGGCTGTATGCAGGCTATCAAACGCGTAATGAAAGGAAATGCAAGGTGAAAACATTTTTAAATTTAGAGATAACATGCCTTTTCTCCTCCGATGGTAAAAAAACCCCGTAAATTTGTAGAGAAAACCCACCACGTGTCGGCACTAATGCATTTTGGGGTAACTTTTGCAAAGATATGTAATTTCTAGAGAAGAGTGGATTAGGGCATCAGAGTGGTACTGTTTCAGGTGGGCTTTTAGTTGGGCCGAAATTTAGGGCTGATCATACGATTTGAATTTTGATGTATGTTGCAACAAAGAACACACATTATCTTTTCCGATGCATATTGACTAATTTTACTTGTAAATAATTGCATCGATAACCATGAACCATTACTTGACAACCTTACCTTCTATTTGGCGCAGGTGAAGAAGATGATAATATATGCCGTTGATCATGCCGTGGAGATTCTGAAGGAGCATTGGCACTCTTCCCCGTTGGCTTGCTGATATTGTCAGGGATTTCTGCGGTAGGACAAATTGATGACAACGGTGTTGAGTAAAATGTATAGTGTTGCCAATAGTTCTCTGGCACAATAACTGAGGAAAGGTAGACTATGCAAAAGATCGATGTACTCTGTAGAAAATAGTTGAGCTCAGTGAAGAAATAAAGTATTATTTTGTTGTTGTGAATTATATTACACATGCACATTGCAATCACCAGGGATAGGAGCTATGTATCTATCATACGTACGTAGCTATGCTTAGAAGCAGACGCTCAAAAAATGTATGCAAGTTAGATCCCAAACTTAGTGACCGACTGCAGGCAAGCTTTAAGCATCTCCTACTTTAAACTACCATCTACTCTAATGCAAACTCTGAGGCACAAATGATTATGTTATTTTCAGTTTTCCGTAAGGGCATCCAATAGGCTACCCACATAGCCCTCGTGACTTACTTTTTAAATGCATTGATGGATGGGTGTTACTCTCTCTGTCCCAAAATAAGCGACTCAACTTTATACTAACTTTTTACTATCATTGTTACATTACAAATGATTATGTACTCATCCGTTCCAAAATAATAATAATATAAGGTGTGCTTTGTATTACTAAGGCAAGGCTTTAACCAAGCATTACTCCCTTGGTCCATGTAACCTTGTGATCTACTCCATCCGTTTCAAAATAGATAACCCAACTTTATATTAATTTTGTACTAAAGTTAGTACAAAGTTGAGTCATCTATTTTGAAACAGAGGAAGCAGCTCTAACTTTGATCATTGATTTGACCAACAAAACATATGCAATATGCTACAAATATATACCACTAGATTATGTTTTTCCAAGACATAGTCAAAATAACAATGCATTAACAACTACAATACGAAAAAAAGAGCATACCAAGTGCATAGAAGCTCTCACACAAGATGGGGTCTAGGGAGGGATCATAGGAACCTTGTTTTGCCCATGCGAAGCGCAATGCAGAGAGACTGGTTCAAATCCAGAACGGACAAGTGGGGAGGACTTCACCACTGCGCCAGCCCGCCCTCTAACTACAATGTATTGTTTGGTATCATAATTCTTGATATTTTTCTACAAACTTAGTCAAAATTTGTATCATTTGACTTTAAAAAAACTTGGTCACCACAAAAGCCCAATTAAATTATGTAGTGTCTTGTATACAATACCGAATACAAATCTATTAACATCAAATTTAAATTGCATAGGCTATGTTAATAATGCAAGTGCACGTGGAAGCTAAATATAAGGTATATTATAAAATAGAATATGCCACATTAAATGATCAAATTGTAGTATTAGTAAGCACAATTAAGAAAACTAAGCTATGGACAACCAAAACAGAGGTCAACGATTAGACTAGTCTAACCTACTCATAATATGAAATAGAACATAGCACATAAATTGGGAGGAACTGTATAAGTAAGCATTATTAAGTATAACTAAACACATTAAAAAAAGTAAGTTATACAATTTAGTGTTAACTGAAATAATAGTCAAGGCTAAGACCAATTTGAACTTTTGAATCCTTTTAATGTTTATAACACTTGTTTTAACACAGTAATAACATAGATGCTCGCATAATCTTCGCAGTCAACGGAAACATCTTCTCACACAGAAAAAAAAACCATTGGGAAGAAAGAAATAAATCTAGAAAAATGCGAGCACCAATGTCAAATCTAAGTCTTGAACCCTAGTGGAAGTTCCAACACAAAGAACCCAACCATCCAAGCTATACTCAATTTGTATCTAGAGCGTTTTTATAATATTGTTCAAAATTTTGGTTATGAATATAATAAGTATCACAAACCAATGGAGTTGACTTCACAAACTCGATACTAACTCAATTATGATTTGAATCTTGATCACAATAAGATTACAAAAAAGTGGTAAACAAAAACAAATCCTAACCTTGAAATCTGTTGCAGATTCATCTTTTCATATGTCATTGCCTTAATTCTTCATCACCAACTTTAGGGGTCTTGACAGATCTGAACCAATATTAGGGTTTGAGAATGTCAGATGCTTCAAAGGTTCTTGAAGGCGCGGCGAGCGATTATGGCCCCAATCGCATCGAGCACGGAAGAGGATGATGTTGAGAGAAGATGTCAATATGCTTAAAGGTGTGAGAGCAGATCTAGAACCACATAATGTTAAGATAAAAGAGAAGGAGGCAAAAAAATATATATTTCAGATCTAAGAGAATAATCAAGAGACATGATCGAACAATCAAACGGAGAAATTTACAAAATTGAACAAACAAGAGAACAAATCCAACATTATCCATCTAAATGACAAAATCCAAGAGAAAAAGAAAGAAATAACACAAGGCAAAAGAGAGGAGCATGCGAAAACGCCTTGTAGATCGAGCCAGAGTCCAGCTCCAGATCCCCAAATCGAAGATGAGGCCACGGGGACACAGGGAAAGGGCTGCCTTTATATAGGCCAAGCCTCCCACGTGATTAGGTCTTCCATAGCGAATCTGACCTTTGTAAAGGAAATACCCAGACTACCCCAAAGCAGTTAGAGATTAGATCACACGACGTTTGGGATCTAATCACGATTTGAGATCTCCTGTGCAATCCAATCACGCCGCCGCGCAGCGATCGGCGCGAAATCAGCACAAGGCAGGTCGGGGAGTTAAGACCATGTTTTTTTCTTGAGTCATATACACACGCATACACTTATCCCTATGAACGCACACATGCACATCTTATCCCTATGAACACCTCCGAGAGACTGAGCCGACATATCATTTTAAGATTTACGAAGCAACCGTAGGCGCCTCGTCGTCGACGGGAACGTCTCCTCCCACTGAAAGCGCATCGTCAGAAATCTTGAAATAAATCCAAAAATAATGCGAGCACCAGGATTTAAACCCTGGTGGGTTGGGGATATCACTGTCCACCTAACCATCTCAACCACAGGTTTTTCTTTGGACAAAGGAGTTGACCATGTAAAGCCGGGCGTCTGGACGGCTCGCTCGATTACTGATTGATCATAATTTTTTGACGCACACGGACGCCTCAAATGGGTCTTAGCGTCTGGGTTGACCGACACTCTTCATATCCAATCCAAATATAGGGCGGATATGGGGCGCCTGGGCGCGCCTGCCACGTCGGACCCGGTCCATGCTGGCTCACCCAACCCCACATATATTCATCCTCGTTCGCTCGCCGGAGCAAACCTTAGCCACTTCACTTCACTTCCCTCCGTCACCCGAGCTCACCTCCGGCGGTTTCCGGCCTTCTCCGGCATGGCAGGTAGCGGATCAGACTTCGACCACTCCGGATCCGTCGACTGGGGTGTCACCCCGTGCGGGATGGAGGACGCAATGGCAGTCCGCATTGCACCCCACCGCTTCCGAGAGGACAACGCCCGGCCGACGGACGGATCTGTCCACCGCGACTCCATAGCGCTGGCTCACCGGGCGCTCGGTTCTCTGGTGTTGGATCCTCGCAGTCCCGACAGCCGGAACACCTAGCCTTTCCCATCATCGGTCGGGCAGACTATGAGTCCCACCAGGGACGGGCAGCCCGCCGTGGGAAGGAGAGGATAAGGGCCGCCGAGGCCCGTATCGTTGCGGAAATGGCGGCGGTGGAGGCGGCTGATGCGGCGATGCGGGCAGCCGTAGAGGAGGAAGCTATCCGCCCTGCATTGTGAAGAAACGATAGCGGAGGAACACGCGCGCCCTCGCCCAAGAACAGAATCGGGCGGTCCATGCCATGGTCGGACTGCCACCGAAGGAGGAGAAGGCGGACAATGACAACGAGGACAGATTCGGCGACGAGCAGATCTGACTCGATCCATACTGCATCTTCCACCGGTACTTCCGCTAGAAGGATGACAAGGGCACCGGGAAGGGCAAGGGCAGCCGTGGATGAACTCCACCATAGCCAAACATGTCAAATTTTGGTAGTCCGATGACATGTTTAGTTAGTAGTGATGGAGTAGCCCAACGATGTGTGTGTATCGACATAGTTGCATGAGTTTGTATGGATTTGAGATATGATAATTGAGGTGTCCGAATGTGGGTTACATGATTTGAGAGGTGCCCAATCAATGCCTGCGGACGCGTCCGCGGGAATTTGAGGGGCCGGATTTGCCAAGTTCGGCTGTACAACCGGCCGACCAAACCTGTCTTAAACGCCCAGGCAGACGACCCGGTTACTGACAGGTCAGGAAAATGCGATCTAGACGGGAGCCTCAAACGGCTCTCAAACGCTCGAGCTGACCGGCACCCCTCATATCCAGCCCAAATATGGGGCGGATACAGGGCGCCCGGACGTGTCCGCCATGTCAGTCTCGGCTCACGCTGGCCCACGCGACCCTACATATATTTTCTGCCGTCCGCTTGTCGGACCAAAACCCTAAGCACTTCACTCCCCTCCGCCTCCCAAACTCCCGTATGATAATCTCCGGCCTTCTCAGGCATGGCGTGCAGCGGATCTGACTCCGACCAGTCCAGATCCATCGACTGGGGTGTCGTCTTGTGTGGGTTGGAGGAGGCAGTGGCCATCCGCATTGCACTCCGCCGCTCCCGAGAGGACAGAGTCCGGCCGATGGCAAGATCTGTCTGACGCGACTCCATAGCGTCTGCGCATCGGCACTCAGATCCTCTGGTGCCGGATCATCACAGTCACAAGAGCCTTCAAATCTCCCCTTCACCATCACTATTCTGGTGGAGTATGAGTCCCACCGGAACTGGTGTGCCTGCCGTGGGAAGGAGATGATAAGGGCGGTGGAGGCCTGCCTCGCTGCCGACATGGCGGCGGCCGGGTGGCTGATGCGGCCATGCAGATAGCCACATAGGAGGAAGCCATCCGCACCAGCAATGTAAAGAAGCGATAACGGAGGAACATGCCTGCCCAAGCCCGAGAACAAAATCGGGCGATCCGTGCCATGGCCGGACTGCCACCCAAGGAGGAGTAGGAGGATAGCGACGGGTCGGATAACTCCGGCGATGAGAAGATCCGGCTTGATCCCTACTAT